TGTTCGAAAACCTCTTTATATATAAATTTATATATTATATATTTATAAAATAAATAATTTATAAATATAAATATATTAAATTTATGTTTATAAATAAAAATTTATATATATTTATTTTTTTTTTTTTGACAACGAATATATGCGTTGAGTTTACTTTATAATTGACGTCAAATTGTTGTTATTGTTTATTTGTGTATGCGCTTAAAAGATAATTTCAAAATTGGCTTAAAAAAATATTTATTATTTTTAATTTTTATTATTCATGTAATTCCGGAATTTATTCAATTTTTGTTTTTAGATTTTATTAAAAATAGATATCATTCGTAGTTTTTAATTCCACATATTTGAATATAGTCTTGTCAATGCCTTTTGTTTGGTTCTTAGCTTTTGACCTTTCAGAATATGAGTAATTTACATCGTTTTCATGTTCCATTCGAATTAAGTTTTCAATTTGTTAAAAATTATTAAGTCTATTCTTCTTTGTTTAAAAATTATTTAGCGAATTTCGTTTAAGCAGCTTTTATCGGATTTTTCAAAAAACCATTTAATTGTGGTGAAATATTTAACAATATATATTGATATAGTATAACAATGTCAATACTATAGCACTTATTTTAGAAGAAAAAATTGAGCTGAAGATGTATGAACTTCCAGTTTATTAAATGAGTTAACTCTACTAATAGATATGGTAATTTATATCTAACGAAATAAATTAATTAAACAATTCTTATTAATTACATCAAGAATTCACAATATAATAATAAATTATATTTCTATTGCATTCGATTTTATTAATTTCAATTAATTATTTAAAACACATTTACCCAAAACAAATATTTCTAATTATCTATACTAGATCAAAACTAAATATCTACAGCAAATGAATTATTAAAATTTACAAAAAAATTAATAGAAAATAATTTACAAATAAACATTATTACATTGATAGATATTAATAATACTTGGACAAAGTTTTTTGAAATAAATATTTGCAAACTCAAAAGTTACTACAATTGTTATATATAATTTTATATAGCAAATTATGGCATATAAACAAATGTTACTATTACGATAAACATTAGATATTAAAACCCGGCTATAAATGCACTGCATTTACATAATTACCTTTTTTACAGATAATGTTTTGAAAAAATATCTTTATTTAAGCATGTTTCAATCGTTATCATCATTATCCAATACAAATTTAATCACATCATCAATTGGATAATAGTTTAAGAGTTCCAATATGGAATCATTATGTAAAACAACACTAAAGAGCAATTTTACATACCCACGCATGCGTGTTGCATAATCACAATCAACATAGCTTGTCTTATCCTTACTTAAATCATATCCACAATTTTCTATTACTCTGCAAAGTACCTGTTAAAGAAAAATCAAATAACTTAAAACAAAAATTAAAATTACAAATTATCTAAGAAACATACATATTCTTCAGTTTCTTGTGGCCAACCAAATTTTGTCAAAGTAATTCTATCCACTAAAATATCCAATAGTTTCCGAACGTTACTTTTTATTTTTGTCTCATCATCACTTTTTTCTTTTTCTTTGGTCGTAATTTGTACTTTCTCATCGTCAGATGCAGGGTCTGTAACGGCAGCAACTAGGCTTTCAGCTAAAGATTTAATATAATTATTTTGTTTCGGTAAATTCTTCAGAACAGTAGTTTTTGACTGCGTTACTACTTTCTTATTTTCTAGTGTAGTAATAGTATATAATTCATTGTTTAATAATAATTGCTCTGTTGTTGCATCAGATACTTCATTTTTAATATATTTTTGTGCAATACCTTCAACTGATGTTCGATCATTTGTAAACGCATCAAACTGACTTTCAAGAACATCTGTTCTCTGTTCCATTTTTATACTCTGGCTTTCTATTACAGTACATATTTCTTTTTCTAATAATAACTGCTCTGTGGAAATTTCAGGTGGCTCATCTTTTACAAATTTGTGTGCAAAGAAGTTTTCGTTAACCGATGTTTGATTGTTTGTAATGCGATCAATTACGCTTTCAGAAACAGCACTATTCGGTGTGGTTTTTATAGTCTCATTTTCTGAAGCTGCAACACAGTATTCTTCATTTTCTAAAAATTTTTCTATGAAAATTTCAGGCAAATCATCTTCCATAAGTTCTTGTATAACAGCATTAACTTTAATAGATGCTTGATCGTCCACTATAGTATCAAGTGAACTTTCAGGAACAATAGTTTTTGGCTCAAATTTCATACTCTCATTTATTGACTTTACAAAACAGCAGTCTTCATTCATCAATAATTGCCCAGTGTAAGCTTCAGGTGGTTCAACTTTTATAAATTGTTGTACAATGGCATTACCTTCGCCCAATATTTGATTCACTTTATTTGTATCAATTACGTTATCTGGAACACTTGTTTTTGGCTCAATATTTGTAGACTTCTTTTGTAGAGTTATAATATCGTATTCTTCATTTACCAATAGCTCAGTAGACGCTTCAAATGGTTCATCTTTTATGAATCGTTGAACAACGGCATTACCTTCGATTGATGTTCGATCTTCTGTAATACCATTAACTACAACTTTAGGAACAGCAGTTCTTAGCTCGGAATTCATAGTCTTATTTTCTTGAATTATAAGACAGTGTTCCTCATTTTCTAATAATTGCTCAGTGAATTGTTGTACAATGGCATCACCTTCGACCGGTGTTTGATTCTCTGTTTTACTATCAACTACAATTTCAGGAACAGCAGTTCTTGACTCAGTATTCATAGTCTTACTTTCTTGAGTTATAACACAGTATTCATCATTTTTTAAAAATTGTTCAGTGGAAACTTCAGGTGGTTCATCTTCTATAAACTGTTCTACAACGGCGTTTGTAATAGGATCAATTAAACTATTAGAAACAGACGTTCGTCGCTCATTATATATAGTCTCATTTTCTAACGTTATAACACAATATTCTTCATTTTCCAATAACAATCGATCTGTTGTATCTTCTTCGGCTGCAATCATTTCTTTTGGTAATGTAGCCTTATTATTTGTTGTAGTAAAATTATCATTGAAATCATCAATTCTATAAATCTTTGTTGGTAACGAGTCGTACTTATCCAATTTTACTTTTTGTGCTTTTTGTTTGGTTTTATGGAAAATCTCCGATTTCTCTTTATTTAGTTTAAGTATATGAGAGTTTAGAGTTTTAACTGAATCGAATTCTTTTACATAAATTGTACAGTTTGTTTCTTCTTTTTCTGAATCTTCGAGCCTACTGTTGGTATATTTAGCTAAAATCAATATAAAAATTAATTCTCATTAATAATAATTCCATTTTATATTAAAATTTTGCTATACACAAAATAATACAAAAACAAAACGAACTCTTTTACTGTTACGGTTCCTGGGTTTATGTTAAAAAGCAAAACACTTAAGTTAACTTATAAGTGAACTTACAAGTTTATCAAGAACATCTTTATTGAAATTTAATATATCTTAAAAATAACTCACGTATTTGAATTTTTACGTTGTAGTCTTCCGGTTCTGCAGAAGCAGTTTTGTATTCATAGTATTTAAATTTGCTCTCCTGAATTTTATTTTTTCCTT